GCTCCATCATGGGGCTCTGCGTATTTATTCTCTGTTACCCGGATTCGGAGGTTCCTTTATGGAACTAGTTATTCGTAACCCTCACGTGACTGCATCTGTTCTGTATCTGCTCTGTTAGTGCTTATGGATGTATCACGGATACTTACGCATGACTTATGATTTCTGTATATGATCTGGACAAAGTATGAATTTGATACAAAACTAAATTGTGAATTCTGAATCTGTATGGACTCATTCATTGAAACCCCTTTACTCTGTTATTGTTCACTGAGCTTTCACTCACAGTTTATATTATGTATGTAGGTGAGCCGGCGCGTGATTAGGGCCAGAGTTGACGACCTTCATTTCTGTTTTTGTTAGCCAACCGTTGTGCGTGCCGAGGAGGTTCCGATTGAACTCTACTTACATGGCTGTTTTTTTACTTATGTTAGCCTATGTCTGTTTTGTACAGTCGGGTCCTGGATATTACACTCTTGTAAATGTTTTGTAATTATGATATCCTTAGACCGACACGCTTATGTATATACAAGTTTTGAATATTCTGTCCCATGTTTATCGACACAGCTCATTGGACTATTTATGTTTGGTACATCTGCTTCCGCAGGTCCTTATTATATGCTCATATGTTAAGAGGCCTTTGGTAATCCACAGATTACTGGCCGGTTACGATGCTAATCCTACAGGGGCGTGCTTGGGTTGTGACAGCTCAGTTGCAGCAAAGGAGAATTTGTAGGAAGCAGTGGCCGACCGGCTATCAAAATTGGCCGATAGCCATAAACTCTGGCCGATGACCATTAACCTTAGCCGATGGCCTTTCCTCTTGGCCGACCACCCCTCAGAATGTTCATAAGGTGGATCAGAAGCATCTTGGAAGTTGGCACAATTTTCAGAAGTACAAAAGTGTACAAACAGAGGCATTAGAGGCACGGTAGTAGATTTTTGAGCGAAGCCGACCGAGCATGCATATACCCCTCGCCCCTAGGACCTCTTTTTACTACTTTACTTAGCTGCTTTGCTTAGCTAGCTAATGCTTTGGTTTTGTACTTAATTGGTTGATGTGTTTAGCTAATCAATTTGTTTTGTAATAATTAGTTAACTTTTTAGTTAATTGGCTTCATTTTGTAATAATTAGTTTAGCTTAGATTAGCTAGTTAGCCTATTATTCGGACCCTCCGTCGAGAGGGCGATGTTGTAAATAAGTGTGCGTGTGTGTGTGAATGTCTTTCAACCCCACGTCTTTCTCCCTTTTATTTAACTGCTTTCGATGGTTAGTTTTAAGGCATATTTCAATTAGCATCCTTATGCTTTGCATGCGTGCATCCATTCATCTGTCTTGCATGCACCGAGCTCGGCGCATCATACAAACTGCATTGTATTTTAATTCCAATTTGAATACATGTATCAATTGTTTCATTTCACATGACATCTTAGAATAACTGAGCCTGTCTTAGTTGCATTTTGCATGTGTTGCATTAGGCATCTTAACATAACTAGGATCATGCATGATTACTAACTAGCTTCTGTTTTGGCTCGGAGTACACTATGAGTGTTTACGCTTTAGCATACTACATGAGATGTGTATGTTTCCATGTTAGCATACTTGCCATGAGGCTATTCGTTTAACTGATATAACTGCATGAATGCCTGTGGGTGAAGGTTCTATTACTTGAATTGGAACAATTCATCAAAATGTGAGTTTTAAGCCCACTTTGCGGAGTGGCAAAACCATGTTTTCTGAGCCCACTTGAGAGTGGCAAATCCACGTCTTAGCCTACTTGCGAGTAGCAACTTCAAACCATTTTCACAAACAAACATGAGATGTTTTGTTCTAATTTGAGTGATTTAGTCTATACTTGTATGCTGTGCGCATCACATGGTAATTCTAGATTAATAATCGGAATAAGAACACATGTGTTTTCAAAACCACATATCATATTAGTAGAGGCTGATCTTTGATGGGGCGAGCGGGGGTGCTCATTTCAGGACCTTCCTCTCTTGTACCCAAGTTCCCGAGCCGAGGCAACTTTGGTGATGACGGACATGTGGCCTTAGGCACGAGTTAGGGTTTCCTAAATTTTCCAAAAACAAAATATTTAGGTGGCGACTCTGAAATCTGGCAAAGCAGTCCATGTTTGGCGCTTTTTGATTGAAATCGATTTTCCAAAACGATTTTTCGGATTTGGACTCTTTGGTGATTTATCAGTCTTACATTGCACTTTGTGAGATTAGATTCAGAACCGTGACACGAGTCCGAACTGTAGTAGCTAAGAACCACGATTCACGCCCTTGCGCGCGGAATGGAGTTCCGGGCGGTCTACAGTAGACCAACTGTGCCTATATCTTTTTTTTTTAGGTCCTTCTGTATCAGTGCACCCGTATTATACCCATACCAATATCCGCACCTGCACCCGTGCTTCATAGCCCAGAATTGAAATTGACACATGAAAAACTGAAAGAGTTAGAGAAGAAAATGAAATTGGAAGGATATGTGCCGGATCTTGACTTTTCGTTGCATGATGTTTGGGGAGGAACAGAAGGAGAAGCTACTCTTATGACATAGTGAGAAACTTGTAATAGCTTATGGGTTGATTAGGATGCTGATAGGAACTCCAATTTGAGTTTTTAAAAACTTGAGAGTATGCGGTGATTGCCATCGCACCACCAAGTACATATCAACAATAGAAATGAAGGAAATTATTGTGAGAGACACTATAAGGTTTCATCATTTTGAGGTTGGGGTTTGCTCTTGTGGTGATTATTGTTGAACCCAAAAATTGAAGTTATTTCTTGAAATTTTTTAGGGAAAAAGGAATTAAAATGAATCATTTGTGAGATCCAAATTAGGCAGTGGAGGATTTATGAGCTTGAGGGTTGAGTGATGTGAGTACCAGTTATAATCTGTTTCTAACTGTTGTGCCTTCAGGTGACTAAGCTGGTAGATTGTGTGAGGAAGTTATTTGTTGAGGGTTGAGTAAAGAGAGATCTACATTCTTGGAGAGCTTTTTTCTTTATTTTTCTTCTTCTTCTTTGTGCTCAGCTAATCTTTGTTGAGCTTGAGTGCCTATATGTAGGTTGAGATTGTGAGGTTACATAAGGGAATGGCTTCTGTCCAGTCCTTAATCAGATTGGACCGTGCTGTTGGGCCCGTGGAGGCCCACCACGGGTCTCGTTTTGATAATGTAAACCGTTCAATGTGTAGAACTCGTCGAGTACTATATACTTGTAAAAAATCACGTTGATCGGATATCGATAGCTATGTGATCAAAACAGATTTTTGTCAACCGTTAATTTATTCACTGTCCATTTTTTTTTATACAAAACTGATTTGATCACATAGCTATCGATATCCGATTAACGTGATTTTTTACAGCCATATAGTGCTCGACGAGTTCTACACATTGAATGATTTAAATTATTAAAACAGGACCCGTGGTGGGCCCCCACGAGCTGAACAGCACGGTCCAGTCCGATTAAGGACTGGACAGAAGCCATGCCCTTACATAAAGTGAGTCTTGTTATAGATTTGAGCGCAGTTTCTTGTAGGGTCTGTTTATCCTTATTGGTGTTCAGAGGTAGTGCGGAGGTGTGTTGGAGGTTGCTCTGTTTGGTGAGAGCTTGAAGGACATCTAGAGGGCCAGGCTACCAATATGCGCCAGCCCTTTTAGATGTTCTCAATAGGATTGTTGGTGTCTTTATTATACTAAATTTGTACAGATTTACGTCTGCTATCTGTCTGCTGCAATGAAATATCTTGCTGCTCTGCTGATCTGTTGCTATGCTGCATGCTGTTGTGCTGTCTTGTTTTGGGCTGCTGGGTGCTCTTTTGGTTTGGTTTGCTGTTGTGCTGATACGCTGCATTCTGTTGTGTTGTTGTGTTATCTAGCTATGCTCTTTTTCATCTGTATCTTGTTTTTTGTTCAGGGTCCCTATTTTATGTTAGATATGATTTTTGAATAGAAGTATAAGTTAGAGAGTTTTAGATTGCTTTGTGTCTAGTTGCTAGCCTTTTATTTTGGTTTTAACTGTTCGTCTTTTGCTTTGTATAGTTCTGCAGGGCCTAGGGCATACCCCTTTTAATCTTGTAATTTTTTTATTTTTATTTTATGACTTATTCAAAAAAAAAAAGAAAGAAAGAATCATTTGGCATTAATGCTGACACTCTTTTTGTTAATCGAATGGCATGTATTTAAAAATGTCAAGGAGGTCGTCCAAACCTGAAAAGTTGCATTACTCGGTCAAACACCACAATCCTCGATGTTAGCAAGGCAGTTGGCCAACTTTATCGGATTCCAAATGGAATTTGAAAGAGAACCAAATCTGACCTGCAAAGGTTAAAGTTTTGTCCACCGACTTGGCAGTATTTTCATTGTTACTGTGAGTGTATTATTAACAACCAACTATATAATAGTGCTGCACGTATTACATTACACAAGCAATTTGATTGTACAATTCAACTGTCATCTTGTGTAGCTAATTGAGAAAATCTGCCATTGGTTATTTGCTTGCCTTATTCCATTCCTCAATAACAAGATACATCAATCAGTTGTGTTATGTTCTTGCCATGGTTTCTAAGAGGCCCATCATGGGTATGGTGCTCTGATTCATTTATTTTTTAGGTTGTTTAGTGTTGATCATTCATGAAAAAAATTAAATTGATCTAGTCGTCTGATTTTATCATATTTATCTCTAAAAAATAGACGGTCTACTTTTAAAATCATACTTGGCGTCTATTGTTTTGAAGACAATTATAATTAAATCATGTGGTTATCAGATCAATCTGATTTTTGTCGTAAATAATCTACTCCTAGTGACCTAAAGAATGAATAGATCAAATCATTAAAGTGAACCCAATAATAAGCCTCTAGAGCCTGGGCAACACGGTCTTGTCCACATGGTTGACTAGATACATGTCGATTCCTATTTCAAATGTGATTTTCATAAAACAATCTATTAAAATTATTCATTAGTTCCAAAACACTGTTTCATGTGCATATGGCATTCGTGATCAAAGAGAATGCACAAAATATATTGAATAGGACCAACTTCATAATAAATAGGATAGGGTCAACTTTGTTCCCCATCCAACTGATCATTTGAAATACTTACATGCTTTGAGAGAAGATGATAGAACCTAATGTGCTTGTTCTCACACTAGGTTTACCCTTAAAAATTATTTATTGGAGCTGCTTTTCCCCATAAAATTAACTCATAAAACAACAATAAAACAAAGATAGGAAAAAAAAAAAAAAAAAAAATGAAGAGAGGACTTGCCTAAACAAGCCTGTGTCATCATGTCTCATGAAGCTTAGGAAAAGAGGTACTTGTGCTAGTGGGAATAGGAACTTCAACATATCCTTCTAGCATTTGTATCACCATCTTCATTGTAGGCCTTTTCGAAGGGTCCTCTTGTATACAACAGAGTGCTGTCATGACCCATCTGCACAGCATCGTGTTATCACTCATGGCTGCTTCATCATTATCTACCAAAGTACCTAGCACCCCTCTCATATAGCAGTCATAAGCCCAATCTGTCAGTATTGCTCTTTCTTCTTCCCCATATTCCACCGCCACATGCTTTCTACAACAAATGATCTCTAACAACACAACACCAAAACTGTAGACATCCACTTTAACTGTCACAGGTACATTCTTGAACCATTCTGGAGCCACATATCCTCGAGTTCCTCTTATGTCAGTATGAGTCCGAGACTGATTAAACATCAATGATTTTGCCAATCCAAAGTCTGAAATTCGTGCTGTGAAATATTCATCGATGAGTATGTTTTGAGGCTTTATGTCACAATGGATGATGGGGACATCACATTCTTCATGCAAGTACACTAGTCCTCTTGCAGTACCCAATGCTACTTGAGTCCTTTGATGCCAACTGGGTCTTGGAAGGCCAAAAAGGAAATTAGCTAGACTTCCATTGGTCATGAGCTCGTATACTAGAATTCTTTGAGTCCCCTCATCGCAGTATCCAAGCAATTGGACTAGATTTCTGTGATGGGTTTTCCCGATTGCACTCACTTCAGTTTTAAATTCCCTCTCTCCTTTTTCTGACAACTTGTCCAACTTCTTAACTGCAACTTGATTCTTGGAACCAAATTTCAGGGCACCTTTATAAACAATGCCAAAAGATCCCATTCCCAGTTCTTCCTTGAACCCTTGTGTAGCTTCATTGAGTTCTTCAAAAGTGAAAATACGCAAATTCGTTTCAGGAACATTAGAATCATATGTAGTCTTTTTCGATTTCTTGTGACGCTGTGAGAAAACCACTAGTGAAACTATGACTAGCAAAAGAATGTTGAAGAACCCAGAGCCACCAAAAAGAATTGACCACAAGAGACTATGATTCTCTTTCTTTGAGTAGGAAAATGGATCATTAGAATTACCCGGAGAAGGAACACCTACACCTTTCCTTACTTTGATGATGACTGTTCCACTCTCCAATCTCCCATCAGACAACGGCAGTCTCTTCTTCCAACAAGTACCTCTACCATCAAATATGGAAACCACACAAGAACAATCGTGCAAACAAGACTGTTCGCACTGCGTTTGATTGTAAGGTTGCAATCTGTCATAATTTCCAGATGGCCAATTCACACCTGAAATCACCTCTAAATCATACAAGTCTCGTGGGTTTCTTGATCCATCATCTACTCCACATCCTAAAAGGAAATTTGGTTGGCAGCCACCAAATTTGTTATTTGCATCCGTAAATGAAAACCCGGGAGGACATTGGCAGCTAGGAATGCCACTATTTTCAACACAATAGCTATTGAACCCACAGGCACCACTACCAATTCCGTTTGTCAGATGCATACAAATGTTGTCAGGGATGTATCGAACAATTGACCAACTCTGGTTACCGACTGAAGTCTTTGAGTAAGTATATTGCCTGAAAACGCCATCAAAATCTAGTGTTGCACGATGATAGTTACTGTCGTAATTCAAAACAATTTTGGGCCATGAAAGTTCGACAGTAGATCCATTCCCTTTCACTATATAAATATCCGCTGATCGATTGAAAACCAATTGAAACCCAGATTCGGAGGAGTTGATGTGAGCCCTTCCACTACTGTAATAAGGATCATACCGATATTGGCTAGGCCGGGCGACAGCACTGAGCTCAAGAGCTCCATTCACGAAATGAAGCTCGAACCTTCCATTTGAGTAATTGGTTTCAGTCAGCCTAGAATACAACATGCCACCCAGTGACAACACTTGGGTTGGCAAGATTGTGTCTGTGGGATAACTGAAACTCTCCCATACATAGACAGAGCTATTAGTACTACTCGAAAGCACAAAGTTGCCAGTGTTAAGCATTGCGGCATAAGAAATGGTGGTGTTGGGTTGTGCCTGCCATATTGCTTGGCCATTGGGACTATTCAGTGTGAGGCCATTCGCTGTGAGTTCAACCTTCGACTCTGTTTGCACCGGACTAATTGTGTTTGCATGCCAGATTATGGTTTTGTCAGGTATCTTCGCATACCATATTGCAAGCAAGAAGATGTTTGTGTTGTCAAGTTGGCGGAATCCAAAAGCGAATTCCTCCGAAGGCGAAATCCACGAAGAGTTGTCACCAATGGCAGAAAGTGAAGAGCCTAAAGTTATGTTGGAAGCACCGAATACGGGCAGAAAAGGCAAAAAAGACAGGAAGAGGAGATAATGGATAGCAGCAGGAGTCATAAAGCTGTTGCTCCAACTGCAAACAAGGTTCACAACAACATGAGATATGTTTTGTAGTGTTTTTAGCCAATTGCGTTAGAGCTATGCTCTATGCAAAAAAAATTCTTCACTCACTTATTTTTTGGAATTTCACAACAATGATCGAGATTCATTTAAAGTAAGAGTTCACGTGTAGGTCCTAATTGGTGAATGTATATGATAATTAATAATATTTTTTTATCAAATACTGTTAAAAACCGTCACCAATTATTAATTTTCATCGACAATTTGAAAATTGTCACAAAAAATGTTACTAATTATAAGTTTTAGCGACAATTTAAAAAAATCGTCACAAAAAACATTCACTAATTTTTAACTTTCAGCTACAGTTTGAAAAATTCGTCATAGAAAAACGTCACTAATTGTATGTTTTAACGACAATTTATAAAAACCGTGACAAAAAAAAGTAACTAATTGTTAATTTTTAGCAACATGCAAAAAATTGTCACAAAAAATTAATTTTAGCAATGATTTTATTAGGACTTATTTTCAATAGGACTTGATAGAAATTAAGTCCAACTATTAGGACCTATTGGTAGTTTTTCTTAATTAATGGTGTTTTTCATCAAACACTATTAAAAAACGTCACTACTAATTAATTTTCAGTTACAGTTTGAAATTTTTGTCACAAAAAGTAATTACTTATAAGTTTTAGCTATAGTTTAAAAAAATCTTTACAAAAAAAATCATTAATTTTCAACTTTTAACGACAGTTTGAAAAATGCGTCACCAAAAAAATATTACTAATTGTTAATTTATAAAAATCGTGACAATAAAGTCACAAATTGTCAATTTTTAGCGACATATATGGAAAATTGTCACAAAAAATTATTTTTAACGACGATTTTACTGTGTCTTATTTTCAATTAGAGTTGATGGGAATTAAGTTTAACAATTAAGACTTATTAATAATTACTTCATTAATTATCATAAAACCTATTAAATAATAAATCCACCTAATAAGCCCTATGGACATGTTTGATTGGATGGATTAGAGAATGAGACTGAGATTATTAATTCGTAAGCCCAATTATCCTATGTATGTTTTAATATTTTGGTTTAGGATTATTAATCCAATAGATAATTAATCCAACAAAATTGTAGGATTATTAGTAATGGGGTAAGGGTGAAATTATTAATCTCATGAATAATTTATCTTATTAATCCAATTAGATAGTAAATACCACATTAACTTAATAAAATTATTAATATCTCCCTATTAATCTTATGAATCAAGCATGACTAATATATAATTCCTTACCACGCTAACTTTGAATATACACTATTAATTTAAAATTCATGGCAATTTTCTAAACAGTTCTCTAGCGTCATAGATGGTTTTTGTTCACTTAACCATTGATAAAGATACTAGTGTGGGGCTCACATGTGGGCCCACCCTCTTGGTTTTTTTTTTTTTTTTTTGTCTGTGAACTATTTTCTTAAACAATTCTACAAGCCTAGAATTTTTACCCATAATTTTACCTACCAATTTAGTCCTAATAACCACACATATACCTTTTTGTTCTGTAAATAATTTGTGTAAATATATTTACTAAATGAATTAAAATTATAGCAAAGTTGTCAATCTTATATTCCAGGACGGTATTGTACAAGCAAAAAACCAAAGGTACAAAGTCTACTCAACTTGGTAGTGTTTTAAGAAGTTGAAAAAAAATTAATTTTTTAGTTTTTTTATAACTTTTTACCTTTTTTGTGTTAAAAAAAATTGACTTTTTTTTGTGATTTTTTTGTATAAAAAAAAAAAATTAAAAAGCCAAAAAACTCTCTTTTTACCAAAATTTCCAAAACGCTCCTTTGTTTTAGGTAATTTCAATTTGGCTATTTCAGACTACCTGTTGAGGTGACCCAAAATGAGTACAAATCTTGTCTAGATAGATAAGAAAACAAAGTCGATAAAAAAGGGATATCAGTAAAAAAAATTATTTTTTGAAATTTAACTGACAATCGCAATATTATAAGATTATATAACTAATTAGTGTGTGACCCATGTGATACACAAAAAATTATTTTTAAAATAAAAAATTAATTTTGAATTTTAATACTTCATGTGTGAAATATTTTAACAATTAAAAGCTAAATACAGATAGATTTACTAATGGTTGATGAAAATTCTTGTCAATGTGTGTGATCCTATGTAAAATAGGCTCATAAAAGTGTTAGTTGAATATTATATATATTAATTTTAGTTAAATTATTTGTATATTTTGATAATTTTAGTTATATCCTATTATAAAAGTATAATTATCATATAATAATTTTGTATGATATATATATATATATATATATATATATATATTAAATTATAGGATAGTAAAATAAATATTCATTTTGGTATTAAAAATAATAGTTAATTTAGAAGAAGAATTAGTATCATAAAATTAAAATTAATTCTAACTATTTAATTTTCTTTATATTCATTTGGAAAATAAAAATATATAAAATTTATTGAAAAAATTAAATATAAATATATTGTAATTGGATTATCATAAATTATAAGAGTGTAAAATGAAAAAAAAAAAAAACAGCAATGCTACGTATCATGAAAAACCTTTCATGAAAATAATCATGAAAGTTTTGTGAACTTTGGATTACACTTAGAATAAAACACCACACACTAATTAAGGTAATCCAATAATCATAAATATTTCATGATCATTTTCATGAAAATTTTTTCATGATCCCTAACTTTTCTCTAACATTAGTCTAAGGTCCCTCTCCTATTTTTAGTAATAGAAGAGGTGCACAATATTATTTTGTGATGTCTAAGGTCTCTCAACCCCATATCCATATATCACAGAAAAATTTGACTCTCTCAAATGAAACATCATTTCTCTCTCTCTCTCTACCAACTTTTCTATTCTCAAATGAGTGACAACAAACGCAAACGAGGCCGAAAGCCCAAAAACTGACTCCCCGAAACCCTAGATTTCCCAACCACCACCACCATCACCACCATCGTCACCACCAGCATAGCCTCATCTTCCTCTCCTGCGATCGACAACGACGTTGTCTTCTCCGTTAGCAACGTCAAGCAAGTATGTAGCCACTGTGCTTGTTCCTTGCGGAACATTTTCTCTCTCCTCTCGCTCCCTTTGGTCGAGAGTCTCGTCAGCTTTGAACGTTATGTTTGCCATTGTTATAGCTGCAATTATCTCTCTTTTTCGATCCTCCAAATTTAGTAACAAACAGGTATGTTCTCTCATCTTTTTTTTTCCTTTGCTAAATTTTTTTGGGCATCAGTCAATTTTAGAGAAAATTGATCAGTTGAGTTGGTTTTTTTTTTTTTAAAAAAAAAAAATTTAAAATTTTTTTTAGTGGGTAAGTTGCTTTGTTGAATTGTGGTTTTGATCATACTACTGAGTTTTAGAAGATATTATTTTTAATTTGTTTCACTATCTGGATGGTCTTTGAATTTTGTAATTAGTTGACTATTGTGTGAATTGTTGAATTGTTTAGATATGTATAAATTTTGGAATACAATTGTTGGATAAGCTAAGACATAGACTTTCTTCACAGAGAAATTTGTGAAGAAAGCAAGAGAAATTCTCTATAAATAAAGTCAGAGAAATTTTAATTTTTTCTGAACAAAGCCAAAAAAATTTCAATTTTCTCTGATTTGAATTCAGAGAAATTTCAATTTTCTCTAGTTTGAACCTAGAGTAATTCTCTACACGTAATGAGGCAAATTTCTCTGGTTTGGAGAGAATTTCTCTAGGAAGTCCAGAGAAAAGAATTTTAATTTAACTGGGTTTAGATATATTCTCTGGATCGAATTTTCTTTGAATCGATTTGAGGGACCTTAGACATTATGAAAATATTAGATACCCTTCATGCTATATAATCTTAATATCAAGGACCCTAAAAAAAAAAATCACCTAAAATAAAAACTCTTAATTATAATGATGTATATACTCAATCAAACCTATAATATAAATGACTTGGATCATCAAAATATGGTCCGAACAAACCACACGAGGCGTGACAACAGCACCCACTCCCAATCCTATCAGTAGGACTAAATTGATATAATATCTAAAACTAAGAATTAAAATTAAACTAATTTAAAATATAAAGATTAAAACGATACAAGTGACAAAATATATACACTAACAATATAATTTATCCCAAAAATCAAACATAAATAGACTGTTACTGTTTATATTAAAATAAATGCGGATGATTTGCGAAATGAACCAATCATTAGGTTTTCGAGTTGTGGATCGTGTGGACTTTCAATGAATAATAAAAATTGAAAGGAAAATAAAATAATCATACGAATGCAACATATATACTTACCTTTGTACTTAAACAAATTGATTTTGTGTTTCAATTTCAGATCAACCATCCATCACTCATCAGCACATCGACAAGAATCATCAAGAATTTTGTGATATAATTTTAGAGAGAGATGAAGTAGAGATGAGAGAGAGGGAGAGAGCTGATAATAATGCTTTGTAGAAACGATTGGTTAATTTTAAAGCAAATAGAAAGTAATTTTTAAAAGGTTAATTATACTTTATCCTTATGGGTTATTTTAGAAAGTGGGTTAAAAGTTACTTTTTAATTTTTAAATCACTTTACTCTCTAAAAAAATAAAATAAAAAAAGTTAAAAAATAACTTTTAACTATCTTCTCAAAATATTCCTATGTGTTTTACCTGAAAACACATTGACTACCCAACATTTAAAAATATAACATAAATTCCTTGTGATTTAGAGTAAAATACAAAATTAACAGATTCTGTCAACATTAACAATGTGTGTTATGCACGCACTAGATTGAATGCGTGTGACAAAACTGAAATGTTTAATGACACTTTTGCCCTCTGTAGTTTTTGTTTTTGTTTTTGTTTTAGTTTTCTCCTTCTTCATCATCTCCTTGCTGCAGTAGTAATCAGTAACCATATATTCCTCTCACCATTCATCTTTTATCCTTCCTCACCCTCTCTATTAATTTTTCTTGGCTTCGTTCTTCATTCTCTCTCTCTCTCTCTCTCTCTATATATATATATATATGTACATATTTTTGTTCTTTTAGACCAACACATGTTCTTCTCTTCCCCTACTTTAATGGAAGAAAATTTGCACCTACCCACATGGAATATTGGTTCATCCCAACTTCCATTACCCACTCGGCTAACCAAAATACCCCTCACTAGCCTCATGGACTGGCCATGATTAACACCAAAACCAAGCATCATATGCAGGGGTGTTGTGCATATTTAAACTCATTTTAAGTGGTTGTTGGGTGTTATTGCTGGGTGTTTCACCTATTTATGGTGAACATGTAAATGCATACATCAATTCAAGGGAATTAATGTTAATAAAAAAATTTAAAACAAAATTCAAGGGAATTAATTTGTGGCCACATCTTCCTCACATCACATATTGTCTCAACCATCAAGTCATAATAAGAATTAGGTTTCTCGATTTGTGATTTGTGATTTGTAATTTTCTTTCCAAACTCTTGGTAGGATCACCATTGATGGTAGCAGGGCCGACCTTGAGAGCAGGCAAGAGAGGCCTGCGCCTTGAGCCCCCAAATTTGGGCTGAAAATAGGAGCTCCGAATATAATTTTGTGTTTTAGATATATATATAAAAAAAGAGGTCCAAATACTATAGGCCCAATTGAACATGGGACTCAAAAAAGCAACAAGGCTAGATTTTTATTTTTTTTAAGTACTTGTAATGATTTCTTCCTATTTTAATATATGAAAGTAAATTTTTGTTTATAATTTTAATAATTATATATGCAAGTAAATTTTTTTGTAACTACAAACAAATAAAAAAATTGTAACTTATCGTTTTATTCATGAATTTTTTTTTTTTTTTCAATGTAAAAGGGGCCCTATTTCTGAAGTTCGGCTTGGGCCCTTAAATCTCAAGGCCGGCCTTGTATGGTAGATATTTGTGGGGGTTCATTCAACCATAGATTAACTACCTTGGGTGAGAAGCAATAATGGCGTTGGGGGACTAAGCTGTGCGAAAGTGGTTGTGGTGTTGCTACTAATGGTTGAATAGTTTGATTCCAAAAAAAGAGTAGTAGTGGCATAGAGAAGAAAATTAGAGGAGAAATTAAGGGGGAAATTGACTTTTTTAAAAAAAATCATTAACGGAGTCATGTTTTACATTTTATTCCAAATCATATGGCATTTATGTGTATATTTTTAAATGTTAGAGAGATAAGGTACTTTTTTTGATAAAAACAGGGAGGTAAAATATAATTAACCCTAATTTAACTGATGAATTACTTGGAACAAAGACTTTGAGTGCTGTATGTGGACTTTGAATTCCCATTTTATAAGTCTTGTCGTCTAAATTATTTATATAAAAAATTTAATTAATTAAAAATTGATAGTCATAAGATCAAATTATGCTTATTTAAAATTAAAAAAGAAAGAAAGAAAAAGAAGATGGCTTCTAGAGTAAATTGTCCAATTACATAAAGCAAGCGTGATTCAATGTGACTATAATATTTGATTAATTTGATTTTTTTTTATGTGTAATTATTTCAACAGGTCTTATAAGATAAACGATTTAAAATACTGAAATAGACTCAGTAAATCTACAACAAAGCAATTGGACAAGTCCAATTGATTTTACCAATAGGAGAGGAGTGACTTCCACAAAAAAAGTATTACTTCACATTTTAGAAAGAGTAATACTACAAATTTAGAAAAATTTATCCAGAAACACTAATGTGTGGTTTAAATTCATTCTGCACATGGACCTTGCAATACACACTTTCAATCTCCATAACACACCTCATTACTGACCCAAATCTGGGATGATAAAACCTGGATTTCTAGACTTACTATTTTAGAAAATATTATTTAATTGGGATTGGAAAGCAATTGGACTGTCTAATCTAGCCCATTCCAAATCTATTTTGACAATTTAAATAATTCATTTTATAAAATTTGTTAAGAAAATTATGTCAAGATTAAAATTGATTGGACATCAATAACTAGTTGATTGGATCACTGTTGTCTAAAAAATAATGAACAAATTAAATAGATACTAATATTTATTCAATTTAATTAATCTAATCTATAGATTTTACAAAATGAATGAATCAATCTTTAAAATAGACTCGACATAGACCCCGGATTGGACGGTGTTAATTTCAAAGATAACTATGACAAAGATGTGTGCTTTTCTCGAGTGGCCAGTTTGCCCAAAGACTGGAAACAAGGAAAGGATCATACTTTCAACAGGTTTTACTCCTGTGTGGTGACGAACATATAAGGCAATGCATAATATTTGATATTAGGAATATTATACGGAATTTTCTGTTTTTAAAATTTTCCAATCTAAGTGTGTTTGATCCTAACAAATATCACACCGAACTACTCGATGCATGCACTAAGACGTATTCCATCTTCCACGTAGTAAGACCGAGCAAAAAGTAAGTCAAGCTTTATGCAGTTCAACACCAAGCAGTAAAGCAAGCCCATGCTCTAATAAGTTGGTAACCCAACAAAGAACACATGCATGCCACGATCATGCATGACAACCAAGGCATGGCCCAACAAGCACTTCCATTAACAATGAGCAAATCTACAAAATTTGTCGAAGACCAAGTTTGTAGCCCCACATCCATCCTACCTAATGCAAAACAGGAACAATTGCGTCAATTGCGTGCAAGCCACTGCCAAGCGAATACCAAGCAAAAACCGAGCGAGGCCCAACACAGGTACTCTAGGCTGAACAATAATTTTGAATCCAACTAGCGAAGCTCAAATTAAGTTGTGACCAACCGAATCTCGAGGCTGGTGACGAAATTGGCTTCTGCTTTGTTAAACCTAAGCGCAAGGTAGGAGGCAAATGAAGTGGATAAAAATTAATCAAGTCTTAGTGCTTAGCCCAATGCTAGGCCCACTTTGAGGTTGGGCTAGATTGGAGCTCGGCCTTATGGCCAACACCTGCTCTGAAGCAGGACAATCATTGGAGTTCGGTCCAATGCATGAGCACCACTCCTGTCCTTAAGACAGATTCGCCCCGCTATGGTACTTACGGTTGAGTGCCGTCTATCTCCCAGGATACAATGATCTTCACAAATTGTAGTAGTACTCCAAACAATTTGTTCGGCGAATCAAACCTGTGTTCTAACTCTCTGAATATTTTTTCCTAAAATTATATATGAAGAATATATGTACTTAGAGCAAAGAGGACAGCAATATCAAAAAATACAGACTGAATTTCCGGGGTGATTTCAGACTGAATTTCGGCTGTTTAGGACTGCAGGAAAATTGATCTATATATAGACAAACATTTAGACCCGAACATGTGAGACACAGATTTTGAACAGGTTTAGTTCAAAATTTGAAACAAAACTGCAACCTGTTTGAAAACAAACAAATCTAACCGTTGCCTTGAACACTTAATAATCAAACATATGAAAAGTGATCCGATGGTGGAAAAGTCAACCTGTTGAACTGCTTGGGACTTTATTTAAAAACTATTGAAATATATATATTAAACTATATGAATATATATATACTAAACTATTTGAATAGTTTAATAAATAAAGGAAGAGATACAAACTTTAAGAAACTACTTAAGAACTTAAAATTTAAATTTAGAATTAAATTAAATTTTTATAATTACAAATTTTAGGAAACCACTCAGAAACCCAAAATTTGAATTTAGAATTAAATTAAATTCCTACAATAATTTTTATTGAAAAAATTCAATTGAATTTTATCTTGAAAATTAATGTTAAACCCGAAAACGACGTCAACTTCCCATTCACTCATAAATGGTTTTGACGTTCCGTCTTCACCGTGTGACTTGCCACGCGACAAGGAACACATCACCTCTTCGGACCCACCCTAAACAACGTTTGGGGCCCACTCAAATTTTGGGCTAAAAAATATGCCTATATTAAACCATTTTTCCTACAATCCCCCACATGAATGGAATTTGACGGAGAGAAAATGCAACAACATGATCTATTACAAAGAGTACAGAAATTGAAAATATTCTGCAAAGGATAGGTAGCTTTTGGCTTTGAATCTTCCCTTGTGAGACACTATCGGATTTACTAGCTAACCAGTGGACATGATGTCTTGAACTGTTCAGCTGTTTGTGTAAACCAAGACAATAGAACTCACACAGTATATTCCCATACACAGTTTAGTTCTCACTATTGTGTTCATTTTGGCCCTAAACAACTTGGTCTTTCACGAGTGCTCTAAAAACTTGTAGCCCTTCACAAATCTTATAGAACCGGCCCAGTTCGCATTCACATAGGTGATTCTTATGAAAAGTATCCTGCCATACTCCACTAGGTTTACCTAGATATAAGAATTATTAAAATTTTACTTAACCTCAAACGCTGCAGACATCACTTATTTTATCATAGAAATGGGTAGGAGTTGGACTCCACAGTGATCCTTCTGAGTCAATCACAACTCGATTGTCCTTTTGAACCTAGATCTTGGGAT